GAACATAACACTGCCTCCACCAGCCTGCCTTCTTCCCATAGTGCATCATGCTGCCATCTCTTCCACAGATAAATGATGCACAAGCACCCGGTCTTCCACTTGATCTAAATGTGATTCATCAGACAAAACAACCTTTTTTAAGTGCTCCAGCACCTAGTTCTGAGACTCACATCCCCATTGAAGGTGCTTACGGCAGTGGACAGCGGTCATCATGGGAACTCTGATTTGTCTCTTTAGAGATATGTAACTATGGCTTCTAAAAAAGACTGGACATACCCCATTTGCAATACCTTGGATTGTCTATTATTGCAAATGGTATGCCATCATGGGGTTAATTTTCATTCCTGGGCTACCATACGGTCTCAAAGGCAACGTAACCAATCTGGCGAATTTCAATGTAAAAAAACTGAAATGCAAGCCTTATGTTTGACTCTGTAACGTTTGAAAACACCATAAAACCTATACATGAGGGGTACTGTTATACTCAGGAGACTTTGCTGAACTCAAGACAGTAAGAAGTATCACAACAATTATATAGTCAGTGTAAGTGCCATTTGTGTGTGGAAAATGCAAAAAAAATTAACTTTCACTGATGATATCATCGTTGTAATACATTTTACTGTCTTGAAACATATTTGTGTTCAGCAAAGTCTTCATATTTGTGTTCAGCAAAGTCTTCCGAGTAAAACAGTATCCCCCATGTACAGGTTTTATGGTGTCTTGGAAAGTTACAGGGTTAAATATAGTGCTAGCAAATTAAATTCCCTGGACTTTCAGCCTGGGTTGTCAGGCAGGTCCTGCAAATTGTAATTAATAAACTAAATTATTACATAAATATATATGTAGAATTATTATATATATATATATATATATATATATATATATATATATATATATATATATGTATATATATATATATATATATATATATATTTTTTAAATTATTTGTATTTATATATAGGTATAAATATTGAGATATATACGTATATACTTATGTATATAGATATATATATTATTTCGTTCTACATGTATTTTGATATCAATATATATTAATATCAAAATACAGTTAAAACGAAAGTGCACATATATATATATTTTCATTATTTATTTTTATTATTTTGTTATTTTTTAACGTATTTACATATTTATTTTAAATTATATATATATATATATATAATAATAATAATTATATATATTTAATCAATATCATTCTACGTGCATTTTGATATTTATGTATATATATATATATATATATATATATATATATATATTATATATATATATATATATATATATATATTATTTAGACCGTGTATGTGAATGTATGTGTATATATATATATATGTATATATATATATATATATATATATATATACTTAGATCATATATATGATCTAAGTATATATTTTAAACTGTTTTTAAAACTTTTTTCAGGCAGCAGGGGGAGTACCTGTCATTACAGGCACTCCCCCTGCTGGCACTGCTGTGGACAGCTATGCTGTCCATGTGATTGTGAGGTCCTCGCAAGGACCATGTGATCACATGGTCCAGGGGGAAAGAACGGCAGCAGGGGGACTCCCTGGGATGCCAGGTGAGTATCCCCACCCCGATCGCCGGCCAGTGGGTAAGTACAATGGACAGCAGAGAAGTGCTATGCCGCCCACTGGCGTTTAGAGCCAGGTCCCCAAGGACCGCATAGCACGCCCGTCGTCCTTAAGGGGTTAAACAAGAGTCCCCAACAGCCCATCCACTCAGTGCTGCTTGGGCCAATAAGGAATAGTGATGTACCGAACGGTTCGCCAGCGAACGGTTCCTGGCGAACATAGCATGTTCGCGTTCGCCACGGCGGGCGAACATATGCGCGGTTCGACCCGCCCCCTATTCGTCATCATTGAGTAAACTTTGACCCTGTACCTCACAGTCAGCAGACACATTCCAGCCAATTAGCAGCACACCCTCCCTAGCAGACCCTCCCACCTCCTGGAAGGCATCCATTTTAGATTCATTCTCAAGCTGCATGCTTAGTAAGAGGAGGGAAAGTGTAGCTGCTGTTCATAAGATAGGGAAAAGCATAGCTAGGTTAGGGATAAGGGTATGCTTTTTTTTTATTTTTTTTTCTATGTAATGTAAATGCACTTAGTTGTCTGCCACTGCTGCCAGCTTCTGTGTCAGGCTCACAGTACATACTGGCCCATTCCCCAGTCAGTGCCACCACTTACATCTGGTGTCACAATAGCTTGGATTTAAAAACAAAAAACTTTTTTCACTGTTATAGATTGAATAGCAGTCAGTTGTCTGCCACTTTTGCCAGCTTCTGTGTGTCAGGCTCACAGTGCATACTGTGCCCATTTTTTCAATCAAGTGCCACACTTAGATCTGGTGACACAAAGCTTGCATTGAAAAACAAAAAACACTCTTTTCACTGTTATAGATTGAATAGCAGTCAGTGTCCTTAAAGCGGGTGTGTTACGCTAACAGTGGATACGGTGACCATTGCCACACTTAGATCTGGTGACACAAAGCTTGTATTTAAAAACAAAAAACCCTTTTTTCACTGTTATAGATTGAATAGCAGTCAGTGTCCTTAAAGCGGGTGTGTTACGCTAACAGTGGATACGGTGACCAGTGCCACCACTTAGATCTGGTGACACAAAGCTTGTATTTAAAAACACTTTTTTCACTGTTATAGATTGAATAGCAGTCAGT